ACCATTCTCATAAAAGGACCAGAGAAAGTAGACTGTCTAGCTCTGATGCGAGTAATAAGTTCTCTTGAAGAGTTAATTTGTTCTAAGACATCTTCATTGTTCTTATTTTGCTGTGACACTATACCAGGTTGTATCCCAGTGTCATGGGTTTTTGTATTTGTCTTGATCTTATAGAGTGGCTTGGGTAATGGATTTGTTCTACTTTTTGCATGATTTAGCTGTACCGTCTATCCACCACTCCTTGGTCTTCTTCTTCTTGACTTCTGCCCAAAATGTTCTACTACTGAAGGTTTTGGTTTATTTTTTTTTTTCTTTTAAGGTTTATACATTGGATAAACTTGATGGCACAAAGGTAGTAATCCATAAGTTCTCCTTTCTACTTTTAACTCAAGTCTGAGTCCGAAGAATCTCAGCGCAGTGCTCGTTCTACTTAGCACAGCAAGGATCCTAAAATACTTTGGGTAGATTCTGAATTGCAAATTTTGTCCGGGCAGCGCTGTAAGGCTACTCTTTTTTTTTCGATTTCCAACTGCCAAGGGATTTTTTTATGTGCCCAAAAATACACATGGACGCCCGATCTTACTACCCAGAGACCAGGGGAAATTACTAGAAGTTCACGTGAAAAGAAATCCCAGCCTTCACTGGGGCTTGAACCTGGGACTTCCAGCACCCGAGGCAGACGCCATGCCTCGAGACCACACACTTTGGTCTTGCTGCATTGTTACTGGATAGTCAAACCTCTTCGTTCTCTGTCTCTCATAGTAATTTGGCTATAGTCTCTTTCCAACTTTTTTTTCCAATCTGGTAGTTCAAACTTCATAGCAAATAGGTCAACTCGCAGTTTCTCCATTCTAGTGCCAACAAAACTCACACCGAATGTCCATCGCTGACCCTTGGGGGAAAACTCACACAGAATGTCCATCGCTGACCCTTGAGGATAAACTGACACAAACTGCAGACTCAGCAAAGCCAAATGCACACATCATCATCATCTGGTGCCTTGCCAACTGGTATGGGCGATCATGCCTATCCACAATCTGCGATCTCCTGCAGCATGTATCAGTTTGTGTGCTGACACCCCTCCATGCCATGCAACAAGACTGTCAAGAATCTTCTCTCGTTGTCTTCCTCTATCCCTCCTTCCACAGATCTTTCCAGCGATCACATGTTCCATTTTCCCTCTTCTCATAACATGGCCAAAAAATGATGACTGTCTCCTTCTGATGTCTGTGATTAGTTGTCTTCAGGTTCCTGCCACTTTCAAAAACCTCTTTGTTGCTCTTTTTGGCTGTCAAAGGTATTTTAAGCATTCTTCTGTAAAACCACATCTCTGAGGCCTCCAGAAATTGTCCAGGACTCACAGTCATATGTTAAAACTGGATGTATGTAGCAAGCAAGAATTTTTTTGCACACACATGCATTAAATGCATAAAGCAGCTGTCAGAAGTGTCAGCACAAATAGTCCGACACAAGAAACACAGTTCATTGCTGATGGAAGCAGCACTTACAAAAAGATATGTAGTTGCACATGGAATTAATCACATAAGGCACCACCAGTTCTCTGGCAACAAACTTTTTGCCATTTCCTGAATCCGCAGTTCATAACAAACATTAACCACATTGAGAAGCTGAATGGCATTCCAAATGAATCTGCACCTCACAGACTTGAGCCATGTGCTTAACTCAGTAGCTGGGCAATGGAACAATCGTTTCCTTAATGCTAGCAGATGTCCTCATGCTTCTTTCTTTTTTTTTTAATCAGTATATTCTCAATCATTCGTCTATAAAACCCCTGCAGTGTAAACAAAGTGCACCTCCTAGGAAAAATACTACATTATCTTTACCCAGGCTAATTCATTTGCTTGTCAACGGAGACTTTCACCCTTTCGCATGCGAATGCTTTAAAAAACGGAGTCATTAACCCGTGGAAATTTCCAGATACAATCCTTTAAATAAAACACCAATTTTACATAGGTCATTAAACAAATTTATAAAAATCTACTTATTTACATTTCTTTAAAAAAATGTTAAATACATAAAGATACATATAAAAGGAGTAATCAATAAGATAGAGTGCAATATTAAATGGAAAACATTTCCCAAGGAGCTTAAAAAAACAACAACAAAAGCACCTCATGTATCAGGTGGTTCATGTCGTGATCTTGTAACCTATATCACTAAGGCTTACGGGACAATCTGACAGCAAACTGGCTTTTAAAAAAAGCTGTTGGGATCACAAGGACACCCCCCCCCCTCTTTCCTCACCCCCCCCCCCCCCCACCCCACCACCAAACAGTTTAAATTCATATCCTGTAAACACTCTTCAGACGCAAAACAAAACAATGCCCCATGCTTTTCAAGAATAGGTCAATAATCAACATGGCAACATATCAGCATTTATACAAGACTGTGTCACAGCAGAGACTTCATTTAGTCTTCCCCGGGTGACAGGATTAATGTACATACAAGCCAGCACATCCAAACACAGATATTTCATTTTGTTCAATTGTGACAGAGAAGTTGATGCAGAAGGAAAACTGACCCTACCTGAAGGTTTAAATTATGGAGAAATATCCGTTCAACTGAGACGTACAACATGTCAGCTTTACAGTACCACAATCATGAACAATAAAATAAACACTGCGGCTAAAAGACCTTCATCAGCATACAACACAAACAACAATGATACAATGTGCGTACAAATTACAATACATTTTAAAAAAGAAATCACTTAGATTAACCCTGAGGTCTTTCACCCCCCAAAAAGTCCATAATAGACTTGAAATGCAGAAGCTCTGCTTTATTATGCAGAATGTTGGCTCAAAGTTGGTAAAAATGACACTTTTCCCCCACAACATAATTACATATGACACTTTACATTCTCACATAGTTATGAAGGCATTTTCTCTAGGTGAGATATCAAGCCTTGAGTTGGGCGGTGGCTGAGACAGAAGAGGCCGGCTATCATGTTGTAAAACGAAACTGATTAAGCGTTTGCTGAGTCGGATGTGTTGGGCCAAAAGATGTAGACACTGCAGCCTAGCTGTGAAGCAGCACAACACAACATGTCAATTGTCTTTCCAATACAGCAATGCTGAAGGAGAAGGATGAGGTGGTGAGCAGATGGATGAGGGTAATGACACTTGAGATCCATAAACAATTTTTTCTTCTTCTGTGTCCAACATCAGCTATGCTAAACATTTATTCCCATCTGGCTCACAAACAGGATGCTGCCTCTAAGGTTGTGCCAGTATCCCCACAGCTTCTCTTGTAATGTGGCTCCACTGGACCAGATTCCCAGCCTTTGCCAGGTAGTTAGGGCAGTCCTGCAGTATGTGCTGAGCATTCTGTCTTTCTGCTCCAAAATCACAGGCAGCAGATGCTTTTACACCTATCCTGTGTAGATGGGCTATAACACCACAGTGTCTGTTTAAAGCCTACAAATTGTTGTTCGTTCTTTCCTGTTAAGAAGTTTGTTTATACTGTCACTCTCTAGTCTGTAGTCTCCATTCTGCCTTCTTCCCTCCCCATTGCAGGAATGCTTTAGGACTGTTTTGGTTTCATTGCAGCTCTATGATGGATGAGGTTGTGGAAGATTTCCCCCTGCACCTGCTGGCTCAACTGTTCTCTCTCATTTCCTGGAATACCACAGTGGGTTGGTATCCACTGCAGAACCAGTTCTGCTTCCTTGGAAAGCAAGCCAGTGCTAGTCCTCAGATTCGCACTCTGTCTTATTTTCTGCTTGAAAATACTTGGAAAACTGACAGCGAGTCACTGAATATAACAATGTTGTGAGTTCTGTATTCTGGAGTGATAAGTTGGTGGGCTGTAGAAAAGACAGCAGTTGCCACAGCTCTGTAGTTTGTCACCTGCTGGTAAAGAGTGTTTTTCTATTCTGCTGCTGGGGGTGTTCAATACATTTGCCACAGCCTTCATTTCTGACTGCATTCACAGTTGTTAATAATTTGAACTTTACACTTCTCATGCAGGTTTACCTGGAACTTATCCACACATGTGAAAATGGTCCCTTTTATCCCTTATACATTTACATGGCGCTCTACATACACGTTTAAGCTTTAAATGAACATTGACATCATCACATAGGCAAATTTGGCACTTTACCTTCAGAACTAGTAAAATAACACTTGACATCATCACAGGCGATTATGACATTGATATCACTGAATCCTGCATCAGGTAAAACAGCTAGGTAGGTTCGAAAGTGTCAACTGTTTTGTCTATTTGTATATTACATAAGTAATATATTATATTTTATAAGTTAAAAGCTGGGCTTTAGAACTGGCAGCAACTTTATAACATACAGTAGATGCGTGTGTATCTTGTAGAGTTGAGTGTCCTCTTTCACATATGTGCATCTTGTAGAATTAAGTGTTCTCTTTCACGCATGTGCATCTTGTAGAATTAAGTGTTCTCTTTCACGCATGTGCAGCTTGTAGAGTTGAGTGTTCTCTTTCACGCATGTGCAGCTTGTAGAGTTGAGTGTTCTCTTTCACACATGTGTATCTTGTAGAATTAAGTGTTCTCTTTCACACATGTGTGTAGAATAAGTGTTCTTGTAGAATTTAAGTGTGTTCTCTTTCATGTGCATGTGCAGTTCTCTTGTAGTGTATCTTGTAGAGCGTTCTCTTTCACACATGTGTAGCTTGTAGAGTTGAGTGTTCTCTTTCACACATACATATCTCAAAGAGTTAAATGTTCTCTTTCACACATGTGTATCTTGTAAAGTTGAATGTTCTCTTTCACACGTGTATCTTGTAGATACAGTGAAATAGCGGATGTGTGAGAGAGATCACTTATCTCAAGAAGATACAGAAGATGTGTGAGAGTGATCAATGAGCTGTAGAAGATATAGGAGATGTGTGAGAGAGAACACTCAACTCTACAAGATATAGGAGATATGTGAAAGACATCACTGAAATCTAGAAGAGTTCTGTGAAAGGGAAATCTCAGCTCGACAAAATGTACTAGTGCGATAAATACTAGTACAGAACTTTCTCAGAACCAAATGTCTGTATACAGGTATTGATTATATTGATAGCGGATGTTGCAGCTGAGTTGATGACATCCGCCAATTCCCTGGCTCTCAGGTTGTGGACAAACAATTCAACATCATCAGCAAACATGGCACGGGCTCGCCTGACAACCTGCAAGAAAAGAGTAGCTGACAGTTTAGCTGCCAAGTATTAAAGGGTTAAAGGTGAGAGGATCCACTTTATTGCACTGGGTTTTGTCCCATATGGCTCAGTCTCTCTCTGCAAAATGGCTAGCTAGCTGCCGAGAGTGTCACACAAAGCATGAACTCCGTAGCTCCAGACATGATCCCCCAGGGATCTCTATATAACTGCACTGATAAACCAAACGATGCCATGAAACAAACCTCCAACCTTTGAACTACGGGGCAAATGGCATGACCATTTTGCTACAGAGAACCCCTAACTATCAACTGTGTCTGTCAGAAGTGTGTTCTTCTCTTTGTTTGTACACATTAACTGTGTGGTGTACGTTGCTGTATGAATGGTGTATGGTATGTCAGTGAGGAGTGTGTCAAATGTGTGAATATTGTGTGGTTCGTGTCAATGTTGCGGTGAACATCATCTTTGTTGTGGTTGTTGATTCTGCACTGTATGTCAACTCTGTGATGTATCTTGACTGTGCACTGTATGTCCACTTTGTGATGTATGTTGACAGTGCACTGTATGTCCACTCTGTGATGTATGTTGACAGTGCACTGTATGTCCACTTTGTGATGTATGTTGACTGTGCACTGTATGTCCACTTTGTGATGTATCTTGACTGTGCACTGTATGTCCACTTTGTGATGTATGTTGACAGTGCACTGTATGTCCACTCTGTGATGTATCTTGACTGTGCACTGTATGTCCACTTTGTGATGTATCTTGACTGTGCACTGTATGTCCACTTTGTGATGTATGTTGACTGTGCACTGTATGTCCACTTTGTGATGTATCTTGACTGTGCACTGTATGTCCACTCTGTGATGTATCTTGACTGTGCACTGTATGTCCACTCTGTGATGTATCTTGACTGTGCACTGTATGTCCACTTTGTGATGTATGTTGACTGTGCACTGTGTGCCAACTCTGTGATGTATGTTGACTGTGCACTGTATGTCAACTATGTGATGTATGTTGATTGTGCAGTGTACACTGTATACCCCTCTTCCCTCTATCATAATACTCATAATATTTATATTTATAAGGCAATTCACTGTATCAAGTATTTCAACTGATTCATAACATAAGATTGTCAAAGAAAAGAAATGGTAGATTACCCCTTGTCCTACAAATGAACCAATTAGCAGTGATAAGCTATAAACAGATTACATCGTGTCTCAGAACTGAACCAATCAGCAATGATAAGCTATGAATAGATTAGCTCGTCTCAGAACTGAACCAATCAGCAATGATAAGCTATGAACAGATTACCTTTTGTGTCAGAACTGAACCAATCAGCAGTCACATACTTTGAACAGATTACCTCTTGTGTCAGAACTGAACCAATCAGCAATGATTAGCTATGAATAGATTAGCTCGTCTCAGAACTGAACCAATCAGCAATGATAAACTATGAATGCATTACCTTTTGTCTTAGAAATAAAACCAGACGTCAGTGATGAGCTATGAAAAAATTACCTCTCATCTCAGAACCAAACCAATCAGCAAAGACAGGCAACTATTAGGTAACCTCTTGTCTTAGCATTTAACCAATTAACGATGACAATCTAACAATAAAATTACATCGTGTCTCCTTTGTGGAATGTAATTTTTCGTTATTTGAAGCCCCACCCTGGCTTTTTCCGAATATAGCTGGGCCAAAAGTGTGGCCATAACGGCTGAAAAGGGTTTCTGGGACCTCTCCAGGGGTGATCCTCATCCGCATGGTGGCACAGTGTGTTACCAAGTGTTTATTGCTTGTGTGATGTCCAGGTGATGTACAATAAGCAAGCAAGCAACAATCTAAACACTTTACCACCTGTCTTAAAACTGAACATTTAATCATGACAAAACTAACAGCTCCTTACCACTTGTTATAGAAATGAACAATTCTTCTTATTCTTCTGCCTTTCTAACTCCCAATGCAGCATAGGCCCTCAACCAACTGATGCCAAGTCATTCTATCCTTCGCTTTAACATGCAGCTTTCCCCATGTCCTCCCCATCTTTACAACTTCACACTCTAGTTCCCTTCTCTGTTTTTTTTTTAAAAAAAAATTTCTATTTTTGTCTTGCTTTATTTCTATGCTCATGTGGGTTCCAGAGAAAGACATTCTAGTTATTTTGTTCTCAGGTTTTCTCAATGTGTGTCCTATCCAATGCCAGCATCTTTTCTTCACCTCTTGGTCCACTGGAACTTGTTTAGTTCTCTTCCAAAGCTCTACATTAGTGATTTTATCATACCATTGAATACCCTCTATTCGGCGCAGCCACCAGTTAATGGATGTTTATTAGTAAATGTTTTAGATGTTCATGTTTTCATTCCATAGAACAGTACTGATTTGACATTAGAATTAAACATTTTAAGATAAGTATTGTTTTAATATCTTTTGACCTACACAAACACCCTAGTGCTATGAAAGCTTCTCTTGCCATTTGTATTTGCATTTAATATCTCTATCAGTTCCCCCATTTTTATCTAAATTACTGCCAAAATAGGTGTATGACCACATCTTGGAGTGGGATACTATTAAGAGAAACCACACTACTATTAACAATGGTAAAACTAGCAGCACCTTAACACTTGCATTAGAACTGAACAATTAACACCAAAAACAAAAACCCACGGCAAAACGCTTACCTCCTGTCCCAGAGAGCATATCACAACCTGAGTGCCTGCTGTCTCTTGTTCTGGGGAACACTGAAAGCATGTCAGTGACTTGTATACAACACTGGGGAACTGGCAGTGGTTCAGGTAACCTGCAGGAGATAGAGAACATGCCCATACACTTATGTACATCTTGTGACTGCTATTTTCATTACAATGACATATAAACCTTTACCCAACACTTCATATACACCTCTCAAAAACAGGTCTGTAGACTCATGCCCATACAAATCTACAGAAGCAAGTAAATCTTCTAACAGTTATCTCTGCTGTTAGTTAGTCTCTCCACTTCAGCTTACAGCGGTGCATATGGCAGAGGTCATATGCCATGACTGGTCATTCATTGCCACCTGTTTTAGATCTTGGATCTGATTCTTTCTCTTCTTTCATTCACCTGAAATAAATTGTCTATATCAGCAGTTTTGTCTCCTGTATAAATTTCACTGTTGTTGTTAGTTCATTCAGTGGTCCATAGAGTTTACATTCCACTGTTGTTCTTTCTGGCCAAAAGGTTTGCCTTAATGTGTCAAATTTGGTGCAATCCTGGCATACATGCTCTGCTGTCTGGGGCACCTTTCCACAGGTGCATATGGCTGATAAGCCCATCTTGAATTTTGTGTACATGTGGTTACCTAATCTGTTGTGCCCTATTCTGAGGCGGAAGATAATGACTTGTTCTGGTCTATCCATAATAAAATAGTCGTCTTGTGCTGGGGCTGGTAGTTTCCTGATCGATTTAATGATTCTTTACTTTTGGTGGTATGTGACTGGTACATCCGGCTGCACTTTTGTCGCAATTTCCCCTGCCAGTTGATCAGCTTTCTCCTTTCCAGGCACTCCACAACGAGACGGTCTCCACTGCATTACGAATTTTCGCTGAAGGCCGAGTTGTGTCAGCAGTGTTTGCAATTCTGGTAGTTTCCTAGACTGGTGTGCTTCAAGTACGGATTTAGCATACGCCAGCATTACCACATACTGTGAGCCAAGATTGGTATTTAGCAGTTTCTCTGTTGCTATCTTGATAGCCTGAGTTTCTGCATCATAGTTATGGCAGTACTTCCGGTTGGTACGCTGGACTTATCCCTAGTACCATCTGGGAATTCGATGTACACTCCAGCACCACCATTTCTAACTGCACTTTGTGCGGACCAATCTGTACAGACTCTGACCCATTGATCTTGTTGGTATTCTTCATCAATATAACTGAGGGTGGCCATTCTGCGTTGTACACTATCTTGCTCTTTTTTGTCAAATATCCCTTTCACATTTGTCTGGATTTATACTGTTAGTTTGCATTTTTCTCTCCGTGGGGTTTGTTCTGGAATACTTTTAAGTGGGCAACCAATTTCTGGAAGGTCAGGAGTTTGTCTACATATTCTTTTTGCTTGGTGTATAAAGCTGCTTCTTTATAATCGTCCCAACTTTGTATCTCTGCGTTCTCTCAGTGCCTGTGTTTTCCCAGCTTTCTCCATTTCTAATATGAGGGTTGATTTCATCCCTCCTGTGATGACTCTGAGCGCTTGATTTTGCACTTTGTCTAACTCCTTTAATGTGGTACTAGATGCTGAACACCATGCAGTTGACCCATATTCCAAGTGTGGAAGTATGCTCTGCTTGTATACTTTATTGAGTATTTCCCCATTGGCTCCCCATGTGGTTCCACTTAGTTTTCTTAGTATTGCTGTCTTCCTCCTGGCTTTGGTTGCTGCCTTGTTGATATGTTTTCTCCATGTCAACCTGTCATCAAATGTGACTCCGAAGTACGTGGGCTCTTTATAATCTCTTAGGGAATTCCGTTTGTTTTGATGATGCCAGCCTTTTCTTTGGGGAAAGAGTGAAGAGTGTGGTGCTACCTTTGTCTGTGTTGATGCTGACACACCATCTATTGGCCCATGCCTCAAATGCATATGTAGCCCGCTGTAGTGTTCTTGTGGCTATCGTTGCATGTTCATCGGTGCACCACAGTACCAGGTCGTCGGCATACATTGCCATTTTGATTCCATTTGGTATCTTAGCAACCAGATCGTTGATGAATAAGACGAAAAGTGTGGGCGACAGGACACCACCTTTTTAACTTTTGAAACCATCTACCTGTACCCGGGCTCTTCTGTTATGTAGATATGCTTTTATCCAATTGTAAATTTTTCATCTACTCTATAGTTTCTCAATTTCTTCAAAAGCCCCTCCTTCCAAACCTTATCAAAAGCTTTCCTTAAATCTATCCATATCGTGAGTACCAGTTTATAATCTTGAAAATCATCCACTATTTCTTTGGAGAGGTATGTTGTTCCGTAGAGTAGAACTTTCTAAAGCCCACCTGCTGTGGTGTAATGATGTTTTCACTTTCAATGTACCACTGTAGTCTGAGGTTGGTGATGCGCTCCATTGTTTTGCAGAGACAGCTGGATCTGATTCTAAAACAAAGGATGTTTTACGATAGCGGCTTGTCGTGTCGTCGATCAAGTCTGAAGCTAAGCTAGCGGAAACACATAGCGCCCTCTTGGCCCAAACTGGAACATCTTTCTTTATTGTGCTAACAAATAAACATTCACACAACACCTCATTCACACCTCACATAAAAATTCCTGTATTTCAGAACTATCTTGCTGACATATAAACACTCACCGGACATGTCCAAATCCTGTTTGACAAAAGCCTTGTCTGCATAAAAGTGAATTAAGTGACCTGTGGAGGGCACAAAATAAATTAATTCACCTCTGGTGGGAACTAAATGAAGTGACCTCTGGAGGGCATCGATGAAGTGACCTCTGAAGGGCATCGATGAAGTGACCTCTGGAGGGAATCAACTGAACAGTGACCTATGAAGGTCATCAATGAAGTGACCTCTGGAGGGCATCATTTAGTGACCTCTGGAGGGCATAAGTAAGAGAGAGAGAGAGATACAGAGAGACAGAGAGAGAGAGAGAGAGAGAGAGCTGCAGACTTTTGACATGTTAGGCCTCAAACAAATGGCAGCCGGTTTTGCGCACGCTGTGTATCAAAGAAACGCGCACACTAACACCCCTAGGACATACTGCAGCTGGTAGGAATGTGCGACGGCATGAATGGGAGTCGGCACGAAATCTTGCGTGGGACGTGATGCAGGCAACTTTGTGATTTGTACCTGAACTCTGATTTGTGGAAGGCATAAAGTGAATGAAACTATCTGTGGATGACATACACATTAATGAACTCTTGATCTGTGGAGGGCATAAAACAAAGGACGTGATTCGTGGAGGGCATAAGATGAAGGATGTGAATACTGGAGGGCATAAAATAAAGGAAGTAATTCATGGAGGGCATAAGATGAAGGATGTGAATCCTGGAGGGCGTAAAATGAAGGAAGTAATTTTGTGGAGGGCATAAATTGAGCAAAGTGGTTCAGGGAAGGCATAAAATGAAGGATGTGATTCGTGGAGGGCATAAAATGAAGGAAGTGATCTGTCATCATCATCATGTAGCAGGTCCTTTGCAGAATGTCGCTCTCATCACAGTCTGCCTGAAAGAAACTCGGTCTCTCGCCAGTTCTCCTGCCTCATATATTTTCATACTCAAGGAGTCATCACTTATATCCTGTGCCCATCTTCGTGTCGGTCGGCCTCTGCCCCTCCTTCCTGGTACCATGCCTTCTGCTATAGTTTTTTCCAATCCATTGTGGCGCTTGATATGACCAAAATATTTCAGCTTCCCAGAAAGGATGCTGTTTATTAGCCAATCTTCCTTGATGTTCAGATCTTTTTGATAAAAGCTCTGATGATTGTCCCCATACATACCTTTATAGCTCTGATGATTGTCCCTATTCATAACTTTATAGCTCTGATGATTGTCCCTATACATAACTTTATAGCTCTGATGATTGACCCCATACATACCTTTATAGTTCTGATGATTGTCCCCATACATAACTTTATAGCTCTGATGATTGTCCCCATACATAACTTTATAGCTCTGATGATTGTCCCCATACATAACTTTACAGCTCTGATGATTGTCCCCATACATACCTTTATAGCTCTGATGATTGTCCATATACATACCTTTATAGCTCATGACTGCCCATGATTGATATTATTCATGCCTTTACAGCTTTCAAGATTGTCACTACAATACCTTAACAGCCCTGGTGACTATCACAATTCATTTCATTTCTTCATAGCCCTTATTCTTACTATACAACCTTCAGAGCCCTTGACCCTATTTTTTTTACGTCCCTGATGACTGTCACAATATTATCTTTATATCTCTGATGACTATCACTACAGATACTTTTATACTACCACTGTAAATACCTTTACAGCTCTAAAGACTGCTACCATAATTCTGTACATTCCTGATGACTGTCACTAAAATACCTTTATATCCTTGATGATTGTCATCATAAACATCTTCAAATCCCTGATGATTGTCAGCATAAATACCTTTATATCCCTGACAATCGTCATACATACCTTTATAACCCTGATGGTCGTTGACGGTGTAGCCAATCTTGCCCAGCCACCACACAAGGATGTACTCCAGCTGCAGTTTCTGGGAGCGAATGAATGGCACAATGTCCTTAGTCATCGAACTCAGGGGCTCCAAGTTCAACTGGTGGTTCTTTATTACCTTGGGTTTTGGCACAACCAAGATCCCTGGGAGACAGCCAGTGAGTCCACAATCAGAATTTATAGCAATGACAACACAAGCAATTTCCAGCCTTATTTTGACAACAATAGCAACAATAAACCGTGGTACCCCAGAATCCAAACATAATATGTTCTTAGACAGCGTTCAAATTTTTCCCCATTGAAAATAACAGACTAGATTAATCTGTTCCAGGGTCCAACAAATTCAAATTTTATCCTGTATTTTATCTTGTGGTCACTCACAACAAAACATAAAAGACAATTAGTAACCATGGAAATGAGGTGTCTGAGAAAGACTGTAGGGGTGACCAGAAGAGATACAATCAGGAATGAGGCCATAAGAGATAAAGACGGCTCAGAACCAATTCTAAATGAGTACAAAGACAGCAAATCAAATGGTTTGTCCACATGGAGAGAATGCATTCTGATGCTATACTATACTAGGCATATACCAAAAGAGGATAGGGACGTAAAGTAAGAGACAGACCAAGAACAAGATTGGAAGATAACATCAGAGAAACTCTACAGCACCACGATGTGTCTTTGGTCAAAGCAGCCAGAAGAGCACAAAGCAGGATTACATCTCCCTCGATAACAGAAGCCGTAAAAAGGGACGTAAAGAAGAAGAAGAAGATTTTATCTAAATACAGTACATTGTAAACATAGTAGCACACGATGATCATATCTGAATGAAAAATAAATAAATTTTGTTTAAAAAAAAAAAGGGGAGAGATACAAACATTATATTTTGTGTACATGGGAAACTAGTGACATGGTACAGAGAATTAAGAAGAACAAAGAGGGATTTAGGAAGATCATTGTTTGGAAGGTGAGTCACCTTTTCTGATTTTGGGGACCGTTTTTTATTTTTCTAAAATGTTCGATAATTCATCACTGGATAAATTAACTGGGGCTCTATCAGGGCATCATTTGACTAATTATTGTGTTTTCGACCACACGGTCAAAATATCTTGGATTTCAGCAGTTAGGTTTTCCCGGCGGTGTTTGAGTTCTGAGGCCTGAACAAAAAAAATTAACATTTTATTCTGATTCCAACTTTGCGCTTTTGAGGCATTTGGATTCTGAGGTATCACTGAATATACTTCAGTACGATGGGTGCTACACACATACACACTTATATATATAAACACATATGTACACACACACTCTCTCTCTCCTTTCTCTCTCTCTCTTTCTTTTTTAAATTACATACTAGACACAAGATATATCTATATTGTAACAAAATGCTGCTACAACCTGACAGTGTTCCATCTGACTCTATGAGAAGTCTGAAAGCTTCGTCCCACTGTCCATCGCTAAGATAATGGTCCACATCTTCTGTTGAAAGTTGTTTGCCAACACATGGAGGTGTATGGTACACCTAGAAGTATAAGTGGAATTATACAATGAGGCTTGTGGTAAGTAGTGGTATTTGCAAACTTGAAGATAGACAAAGGGACAGGTTGTAATTCAAGATATTGACACAACATCAGCAAAAACACAACAATCATATACTAGCAAGATATTGATACAACAACAGCAATAACAAACAATCACATATTAGCAAGATATTGATTCAACAGTAGCAATAACAAACAATCCCATACTAGTAGGACTAACACAACAGCAGCAAGAACAAACAATCACATATTGGTAGGACTGACACAACAGCAGTAATAACAAACAATCCCATACTAGTAAAATACTGATACACCAGCAGCAATAACAATCACATACTAGTAGGACTGACACAACAGCAGCAATAACAAACAATCACATACTAGTAGGACTGACACAACAGCAGCAATAACAAACAATCACATATTGGTAGGACTGACACAACAGCAGTAATAACAAACAATCCCATACTAGTAAGATACTGATACAACAGCAGCAATAACAAACAATCACATACTAGTAGGACTATCACAACAGCAGCAATAACAAACAATCACATACTAGCAAGATATTGAAGTAACAGCAGCAATAACAATCACATACTAGTAGGACTGACACAACAGCAGCAATAACAAACAATCACATATTGGTAGGACTGACACAACAGCAGTAATGACAAACAATCCCATACTAGTAAGATACTGATACAACAGCAGCAATAACAATCACATATTAGTAGGACTGACACAACAGCAGCAATAAACAAAAATCACATATTAGCAAGATACTGACATAGCAACAATAACAAACAATCACATACTAGTAAGATATTGACACAACAGCAGCAATAACAAACAATCACATACTAGTAAGACTGACAGAACAGTAGCAATAACAAACAATCACATACTAGCTAGATATTGAAGTAACAGCAGCAATAACAATCACATACTAGTAAGATTGACACAACAGCAGCAATAAACAAAAATCACATATTAGCAAGATACTGACATAGCAACAATAACAAACAATCACATACTAGTAAGATATTGACATAACAGCAGCAATAACAAACAATCATATACTAGCAACAACAGCAAACAATCAAACTGCTATTGACCCAACATTACCCCCAAAATCCTGTCCAGGTGGTAGATGAGAGTGTAGGCCAAATGCGATTCAGTAGGACCATCTTCAGCAATAAACATAACCTTCTTGTCTTCCAGATCTAAATTACCCTCTGAATTTTTGGTCAGATTGGCTACAAATCGGCCTCCACTGCCTTGTGCTTTTATCAGGCGACCCAAGCCTGAGATGTGATGTCTTGAGGCAGATCTTCTCCAGGTCTGCTCTCTTACACCTGTAAATATATCAAGAATGAAGACAAATAATAGGCTTCACTATAAACTGCCTGGCATATCTCGCTATGATAAATAAATTAATATCATAAACAGCAGAGATGTATTATTATTAGTCCCCATGTTAGCACAGATTATTTTTTAATGTGAAATGCTAATCTTCTGATCCCGTGGACTTTGTGTTACCAAGGTTTTACTGCAGTTATAAACATACACATGGTCTACTTGTGTTAGGGCAGAGTTAAGTTCTAACAGGCCATAAGTCGAACTGGCCATAAGTCAAATTTATATTTTTCAACATGATCTCTCCCTTCAAAGGGGCTATAAAATTGTTACACAAAACACAAAGATTCAATGTTTTTCTTCTTCTTCAATATTTTGAGCCCTTGAGGTTCACATATGTGGATATCACCCACCTCTCTCTCTCTCTCTCTCTCTCTCTCTCTCTCTCTCTCTCTCTCTCTCTCTCTCTCTCTCTCTCTCTCTCTCTCTCTCTCTCTCTCTCTCCCTCTCTCTCTCTCTCTCTCTGGCTGGCTTTCTTTCTCTAGTTGGTGACAACAAGTGTTTGCAAGTCTGTCTAGACATTATCTCTCTATGATCTTCTTGGCCTGCCTCATGGTCTACGACCATTCATCTTCCTGGTGTATACAGTTTTTACTTCTCTGTCACCCGACATTCTTTCAATTTGCCCCAACCATTTCAGTCTTTTAGCTCTCATGATGACAGTGATCAGTGGTGATTTAAAAAAATTATGAATTTCGTTGTAGCTTCTCCTTTCACCGCTGTTTGCATCACTGTTGGGTCCAAAGATGCATCATAAGACTCTGTTTTTTAAAACCTGTAATAACTAGCATCATCTCTTTTAGTAGTGCTCCAAGTTTCAGAACCTATAAAAAACGACTGGTCTTATCAACGTTTGAGATTCTATGCATGCAATATTTTTGTACACGTGAAAAATACATATTATAATTTTAGTCTAGGTAATGAAAACAAAAATCGTTTATTTTTATCCAACGGATCATCATGGCACAAGGGTAGTAACCAATAAGTGCTCCGTTGTACTTCTAACTCAAGCCTGAGTCGAAGAATCTCAGTGCAGTGCACGAACTCCGTTGCACTGGCGAGGATCCTGCAATAATTTGGGCAGATTTTCAACCCCAAATTTTGCGGGGGCAGCCCCGTTAGGCTACTCTTTTCAATTTCCAACTGAAAAAGAAATTTTTTCACGAGCATAACAATACATACAGGCGTCCGTCTTACTACTCAGAGACCAGGGACAATTACTAGAAGTCCATGTGAAAAATCCCAGCCTTTTTCCGGGGTTTGAACCCAGGACCTCCAGCACTCAAGGCAGACACCATACCTGAAGACCACTTAGCCCTCAAAACAACATCATCATCATCAAGTGCCTTGCTGAACCGCATGGGCGATTATGCTTTTCCACAATCTTCAAACTGAAATTACTATTTTTTTTTTAATTTTTGCTGTAGTCATATATGAGGATGGTCGTAAGTCAAGCAGAAGTTGTATGAAGCGCCAATTTACCTAACATAAGTCCAGATATGGAATCATATTCTTTACATCACAACTACATACCTTTGAACCCCAGGTGAGTCATGAGGCGTTTCTCTCGAGCATAACGAGCTGCTTCTTGGCTCCGCAATGTCTCATCCATGCAGGTTTCCAGTTTGGTTGATGGTTGTGAAATGGAGACTTCTTTTTTCTCCTCCTGCATCTTAGTTTCTACATCTTGTCTCTCTCCTCCTCTCCGACTTGACATAGCAGAGCCATGAATGAATAATGTGGTGCCAGATGAAATATGGGGATTGGAATCGGTGTCATTCTTCAGCACGACCGTCATTAGATCTAGAAATATTCAACAATCATGTCTTCAAAAGAAGCATCAGAATCCACTCTCATTCATAACTCAAAACCACTTCTTCTTCATGTTCTAAAACCACTTCTTCTTCATGTTCCAAAACCACTTCTTCTTCATGTTCCAAACCCACTTCTTCTTCATGTTCCAAAACCACTTCTTCTTCATGTTCCAAAACCACTTCTTCTTCATGTTCCAAAACCACTTCTTCTTCATGTTCCAAAACCACTTCTTCATGTTCCAAAACCACTTCTTCTTCATGTTCCAAAACCACTTCTTCATGTTCCAAAACCACTTCTTCTTCATGTTCCAAAACCACTTCTTCATGTTCCAAAACCACTTCTTTATGTTTCAAAACCACTTCTTCATGTTCCAAAACCACTTCTTCTTCATGTTCCAAAACCACTTCTTCATGTTCCAAAACCACTTCTTCATGTTCCAAAACCACTTCTTCATGCTCCATAAACTCCAGTGTTATTCATCTTCTAGACTTTGGTCATGTTCCAGTACTTGTTTGTCTGCACCTCCATTTTACTGATTTGGCTTACTTGTATGCAGACTATTGGTTCCTCGCCGCTTAGGCAGATGCATTCAAACTTCAGAGGAAAATCCCATTATAAGTCGCCTTTTACAATATGCTTGTTAGGGAAGCAGCGAGTCTATTTTTGTCCCCTTCAAATGGGGCACTGGAACCCATACAGGGGAAACTACTACTAAGTACTTCATAAAATTCACATATTCTGTCCCTTATCCTCTAATGCAGCACAGGCCCTCAACTAATTCAAGCAAATATTGTTATCTGCATCTGACTTGTTTGGAATTTATGACTACAGTGTTTTATGGGATGACGTAGCCCACCATAAATCCTACCCTATCTTTAGCCATGCTAACATGATTGTGTGTCTATGCTGCCTTCAAGGCTCAGATAAGAGACATTAAAACCAACTCCTCATAGGAACAATCAGTAGAGATACCGTGGAATGGCTGCTGCAGAGGCGGAATGGGTAGGCATGAGAATGCTCAAGGACGATGACTGTCATAAAATAACATAACTTGGTCATCTCTGACATCATGTCTGGAAGGGTGCAGTTTGACTATTCTTTCCTTTCTGTCACGGCCCCAGTAGAACAAGTGCAGTAAACAGTTGTACACGTGTTTACAAACTTGATCAATACACTAGATCATTACGAAACTGATTAATAACTATCAAGTGTTATAAAGTATCATACAAGGTATGGGACATTTGGGTCACAGGCATGAGGGAAAGTTACAGCAACATTGTTACTTATAAAGGCATCCATTAGCAGATCTTTTACAAAATGTCACTCCCTTCACAACACGCCTGAAAGTCTCTCTTCATGACACGCCTGATAGTCTCTCTTCAAGGCACGCCTGAAAGTCTCTCTTCAAGGCACGCCTGAAAGTCTTTCATCAGGGCATGCCTGAAAGTCTCTCTTCAAGGCACGCCTGAAAGTCTCTCTTCAAGGCACGCCTGATAGTCTCTCTTCAAGGCACGCCTGAAAGTCTCTCTTCAAGGCACGCCTGATAGTCTCTCTTCAGGGCACGCCTGATAGTCTCTCTTCAGGGCACGCCTGAAAGTCTCTCTTCACGACACACCTGATAGTCTCTCTTCAAGGCACGCCTGATAGTCTTTTTTCAAGGCACACCTGAAAGTCTTTCTTCAGGGCACGCCTGAAAGTCTCTCTTCACAGCACACCTGAAAGTCTTTCTTCACAGCACACCTCAAAGTCTCTCTTCAAGGCACACCTGAAAGTTCCTCTAGCCAATTCTTCAGCCCTGAGTGCTTTTACAGCCAGTGCATCTTCAATGTCTTATTTCCACCTTCACTGAAACATTCCTCCAATGTCCGTGGATACCAACTGGGGACTCGCCTTCAGCACTGAGAAATTCTATGACATCACGTTGTTTTAACCAAATGTCTTTTGGAAGCTCTTTTCAAAGCATGAAAGTGGTGCCGCCTGTTACTGAAACATGTTGTTAATGATATATAGTGTGGAACAGTGTTGGAGGAATCCTACTAAATTACAAATTGCGCACTGATGCAGTATTTACAGAGATATACCCAAAAAATGTTGAAGACATTACTTTCTGATCATCTCCCATACAACACAAAGTATGACTAAAAAGCTCAACAAGGAAATGAAAAAAGATGTGTTCAAATACAACTAAACACTTCCCTTTACAGAGCTTTGTAGTCACAGTTTGTTGTATTTAGTACTTCTGTATATCAGCTTACATCCTATGTGAACTAAGCAGTGAAGAGAATTGGCTCATAAACAGCATCCTGTCCCGAAAGCTGAAGCCAGTTTAGTCAGGTTAAATGTCACAGTGACTGCAGAGAATGGTGATGAAGGGTACAGTTTCTGAAAAATGAGGCAGAGGCAGACCTCTGTGAATGCTGATACAAGACCATGAAGATGCATTAGCTATGAAAGCACACAGGGCTGGAGAACTGGCTAAAGAGACTTTCAGGTGTGTCGTGAAAAAGTAATGTTCTTTAAAGGATCTACTGATTGGTGATGATGATATTAGTTCGACTGTAATCACTCATGCTAGTGCTCTGTAAGCAGAGGCTATCTCCATGGTCATGCCTCACAAAGTTGACTAATTTTTTTTTTAAAGGTACAATATGTTTTTCTTTACCACAGTCACAGGAAATGCAATAAACTTTACCAGGTTTCTTACTGCCAAGACTGCTACTTACTATCAGATTCAGGTTGGCTGGAGAATGTGACAAAAGACCGACACATGCTGTCTTTGAGGCAAAGGGTTGCCGCCTCCAACAGACTAGTGACAATGTGGACACAGCCCCAGGTGACTCTTGAACCAGCACACAAGTAGTCATAGATTCCAGCAAAATTGCGATGGTCATAGCGTACAAAATTTGACAGGACTGCCTCTGAGCTGGCAACCTGTACCCCCTGTAGAGACAAGAAATCAGCGTAAAACTACCTACACAATCAGTGTAAAACTACCTGCACAATCAGTGTAAAACTACTTGCACAATCAGTGTAAAACTACTTGCACAATCAGTGTAAAACTACTTGCACAATCAGCGTAAAACTACATGCACAATCAGTGTTAAGAAATGGCATTCCTGTGAAACAGGCAAACTCACATCACTAAGCAGCTGTTGAGTGAATAAATAAATTAAGATTCCCTTTTCTAGTCCCATAACTAGGAGACTTGCACATAGCCAGCAGACTAGCACACAGCCAGCAGACTAGCACATAGCCAGCAGACTAGAACACAGCCAGCAGACTAGCACACAGCCAGCAGACTAGCACATAGCCAGCAGACTAGCACACAGCCAGCAGACTAGCACATAGGCAGCAGACTAGCACATAGCCAGCAGACTAGCACATAGCCCGGAGACTAGCACATACCCAGGAGACTAGCACATAGCCAGCAGACTAGCACATAGCCAGCAGACTAGCACACAGCCAGCAGACTAGCACATAGCCAGCAGACTAGCACATAGCCAGCAGACTAGCACACAGCCAGCAGACTAGCACATAGCCAGCAGACTAGCACACAGCCAGCAGACTAGCACATAGCCAGCAGACTAGCACACAGCCAGCAGACTAGCACACAGCCAGCAGACTAGCACACAGCCAGCAGACTAGCACATAGAGACTAGCACACAGCCAGCAGACTAGCACACAGCCAGCAGACTAGCACACAGCCAGCAGACTAGCACATAGCCAGCAGACTAGCACACAGCCAGCAGACTAGCACATAGCCAGCAGACTAGCACACAGCCAGCAGACTAGCACACAGCCAGCAGACTAGCACACAGCCAGCAGACTAGCACATAGCCAGGAGACTAGCACACAGCCAGCAGACTAGCACACAGCCAGCAGACTAGCACATAGCCAGCAGACTAGCACATAGCCAGCAGACTAGCACATAGCCCGGAGACTAGCACATACCCAGGAGACTAGCACATTGCCAGCAGACTAGCACATAGCCAGGAGACTAGCACATAGCCAGCAGACTAGCACACAGCCAGCAGACTAGCACATAGCCAGCAGACTAGCACACAGCCAGCAGACTAGCACACAGCCAGCAGACTAGCACATAGCCAGCAGACTAGCACACAGCCAGCAGACTAGCACATAGGCAGCAGACTAGCACATAGCCAGCAGACTAGCACATAGCCCGGAGACTAGCACATACCCAGGAGACTAGCACATAGCCAGCAGACTAGCACATAGCCAGCAGACTAGCACACAGCCAGCAGACTAGCACATAGCCAGCAGACTAGCACATAGCCAGCAGACTAGCACATAGCCAGCAGACTAGCACATAGCCAGCAGACTAGCACATAGCCAGCAGACTAGCACATAACCAGGTGACTAGTACATGACCAGGAGTCTAGCACATAACCAGAAGCCTAGCACATAACCAGGTGACTAGTACATGACCAGGAGACTAGCACTTAGACAGAAAACTAGAACACAACCAGGAGACTATGATACAACCAGGAGATTAGCTTGTCTGCAAACAATCCCTACCTTAGCGGATTTATGTATGTGGTCCTCTCCAGCTCTATCTTGTTTCTCAACTCGGACTCTATGGGATTCCTCTTGTCCCACGACCAAAGCTGAATTTGGGTTTACGACAACCACTGATGCATTCGATTCTGAAGAGATAGGAAAAGTATCCAAGACTGAAATCATTCACCCTTGGCAACAGATAACATCTATACATATCACATTATTTTCAAAATTTATTTATAGGACTAGTAGGTTTATCAATTATCCTATAGGGCTCTGAAAAATGGAATTAACAGAACCCTTATTAAAACAACTTCCTCCCTATGTGGGTTCTGGGGCCCTATTGTAGGGAAAACTAGAATAGACCCACTGCCTGCTTAAAAGCATGTCGCAGGAGTCGACTAATTGGGAGCTTCCTTCAAAGCTGCAGTGCATCTGCCTGAGAGGCAAGGAACCAACAGCTGCATGCAAATGAGTCATATCTGTAAAACAGATGCACATGCAACACTCAGGTTCTGGAAAAAGAATCAAAATCCAGAAGTGGACGAATGCCCAGGACTTTCAGCTGGAATTTACAGCCAGTGAATGCGAAGAAGAAGAAAAAACTTTCAGAATAGTTTTGAGATGAATCTTTGGCTCCAATGGTGGAGAATGGAGAGTGAGAAGCAGCAGTGAAACTTTTAATCTATATAAATCACCACTGATTACTGACACTATGAGGGCTAACAGACTGCAGTAGTTGGGGGCATGTAGCGAGAATAGCAGATAACACAAATACTGTATAATATAATGAACTGAATGGGAATAGAGCCACGAGGCAGACCAAGAAGACGGTGGAGAGATAATATACAGGCAGACCGGTAAACACATGAAGTCACCAGCCAGAATGAAAAGGCCAACCAGAGAAATGTTGGAGGCGGGTGATATCTGCAGCAATGAACCTCAAAAGTCTGGAATGCTAAAGAAGAAGAATGAACAAACAAACAAACCTTTTTCTAAGTTTTAAGAATTGTTCGCGAAGGTCCGCCTTACATTCTGCCTTTTTGGCCTCACTCCTTTTGCATCAATTAATATCACAGATCAGTAAGCAACAATAATACAATCTACATTTAGTTCCTAATCACAATTCCTGGGATTTGATCTCGTTATGCAGCCATTTCTCAACAGTAATAACATTAAGTGTGGTAAGTGTAATAAAACTGGGGGAGGTGAGGTGGGCGGGGGGAGGCATAAAACTATTATCTTTTATGAGGCATATAATTTGTGCTGAGAATAAAATTCAAATAGATTCCAACTGTATGTAGAGGGGTTCATATTTTTGATTGGCTGTGGAAGCTGGTTCCACAGATGAGCTGCAGAGTACACCAAGCTTGTTTTCTATAAGTCTTTCCTAGGTTTTGGGATTTGCAGTATGTTTAGGCATTTGCTGTGTCTTCCATTATATCTAAGCAATGGCTAAAGGTAATCTACAGCATTATTGGAAGAAGAAGAAGACCAGTGTACTACACAGCTGACATTAAACAATTGTTACAGTTTATGCCTCTGACCAGTACAGTGTGTTTGTAGAGTCTCACTACACTTTGCGTGTAGAACAATTGTGAAAAATGAAATTTGCTCCGTATTCAACCGTGAAGCAATATGCAATGAATGGCTGTCGTCTGCTGGAGTAAATCTTTGCACTCAAAACAGAATGGTGTTTTCAAAGAAAGCAGTCAGAATTGAAGAAATATCCATAGACATGGCAGAAAGTAGTTGACAATTTGAAGTGATGTGTACAGTCATATCTTGAAGCCTATAGCTGACATTTCCAACATTATAAAGAATATTACATTGGTACTTTCCAGCTTCCCCAACAGTGTTAAACCATAGCAGTAATTACTGTAACTAATTTAATAACTTTCTTAAAGAATTTTTTTTTTAAATGATGTCATGTATATCAAGAGGCAAGGGTAGACTGAGAATAAAATGGGTTGAATGAGTCACCGACACTCTGAGACTGCATAACATTATGGCATATCAAGCAACTGAGCGCGCCCTGGCTCGGCTGACGATCTTCTAATGAACTGTGATGCCTAGAAGAAGATGTACTTAGGGTCTTCACAAATATTCTGCATACAAAGTGTAGTAATATTTTACAAACACAAAATATATTTACATAAGTGGCAAAACACTGAAAACTGACCATATTTGCTGGACATAACCTGCAGCTCTTGTAGAAACTGTGGCAGGTCAAGGTTATTTATCCTGAGGTTGCTGACTAAAGTTTCCTCTGATGGACCTGGTGGGTTCTGTAGCACCTGCTGCAGTACTTCCTTGGCAGCAGTGCGGAAATTGATGATGCGATTCATGCCTTTACAGAATCCATTACTGCAGGCCTGGACTGCCAGTGAGTAAAATAAAACACAAATATGATTAGATACACAGAGAAAGCATTTGAATGGTCAATCTAGATGCCACTGATGCTTGAATGGTCAATCTAGATGCCACTGATGCTTGAATGGTCAATCTAGATGCCACTGATGCTTGAATGGTCAATCTAGATGCCACTGATGCTTGAATGGTCAATCTAGATGCCACTGATGCTTGAATGGTCAATCTAGATGCCACTGATGCTTGAATGGTCAATCTAGGTGCTACAGATGTGCTTACAAATCTGTTTCTTCTTCTTCTCTGGTCCTTTCAGTTTTTCAGCGTCAAGTTTTGAAGAGGCAGGTGAGAGTCTTGGTATGTGCTGTGGAGGTGCAACTATTTACAGCCTCAAAATTCCATCTATCCACACTTGCATGGTCATCCTCTGGCTCTGCTTCTCTTATGTCTGAGTGACAGGGCTCTCTATGGTGCACAATCTGGTGGTAGTCTTGACACAGGTCCAAACTATTTGACCTGTTGTCTCTTGATATAGTTTAAAGACTGGTTCCAACTTCTTTCCTGATATCGTCATTTCTGATTCTTTCTCCTCTAGTCACATTTGGGATTCACCATAGGAACTTCACACTTCCACCCCTTGAAATAATGGACTGTCAGGTCAGCTGTGGATTTCCCACGGGGATTTCGTGTTTGGGGTACGTTATAAATTAAGAACCCATTTCTGTTTCAATTTGTTTTGGTTTTTTTAAATGTCTGATGCTGTATTGAAAAGTACTACTTGGTGTCAGCTGTTACATGTTTGTTCTGCAAAATTAGTGACATTTGTCCAACAATTTGATTATTATATCTGTGATCAATCTCTCGTATTTATAACTAACAAATCTACCGTATGTATAATTTAAGGATATATTATATCCTGCTTGTATCATGTTTTCTTCTTTCTGAAACGCTACAGAAAGATTCTCAGATTACCAGGGACAAAGAAGAGGAGAAATACCGACATCCTAAAAGATGTGAACATCAAGAAAGACTGGCTAGTAAACATCCAACTTGTCTTTGAAAATCAAATATTCTGGCCATAAGAAGTGGATTGGAAAAAATAGTATCCGAAGGCATGATACCAAGAAAGAGGGGCAGGGGTCGACCAGTAAGAAGATGGGCAGGAATTTGCACGAGGCAGGAGAGCTGGCAAGAAACCAAGTCTATTTCAGGCAGGTTGTGATGACGGTAACTTTGTGTAGAGCAGGCATGTCAAACATGTGGTCAGTCGTCAGCCCTTCTTTGCATGCAATATTTATTCATAAATGATTTCAGTTAGTTGTCCTGTGAGGCCCCCATGAAATTATAAATGTGGCCCTTTGGGAATTACTTCAATTAGTTGTCGTGTGAGGCCCACATAAAATTATAAATGTAGCCCTGGGGAAATGACTTTAATTAGTTGTCGTGTGAGTCCCTCCTGAAATTATAAATGTGGCCCTCATAAAAACATAAACGACCCGCTGTATGCAGATGATGATCATTATGATTATTCAAAACTGTCTGAACCACCAATGGTACTACTTTTTAGGGTGGTCTAGGACGGAGGGGCCTTCAGCCTGAGGACTTAAGGTCTCAGAGTTAGTGCAGTCTCATCAAATTGTGCGGATTTGGATATTTATGACTGCCAGCCCCTCCTCCATTGAAAAAATATCCATTATCTTCCCAAGGAATCCAACCCAGGTTTCCCAAATGAGGGTCTAAAATTCTAACCACTTGCCAAGTCACTTCTCGTGTATGAAAGTACTTACAAAATGTATGCAGAAAGCAAATTTTGAAACATTATGCATTTAATGTGTATGCGACTGGATTGGGAGCTGCCGTGATGCAACAGCTGAACGCTCGCCTGCAGATCTGAAAGTCATGGGTGTAGGTCCTAATAGAAAAAATATTTTTATGACCTTGGCTCCCAGGTCGACCTAGCCTTTAATGGGTACCAGGTACAAGTCCTGGGAAGTAAAAGTGACCGGTGTGATGTTGACCATAACATGCATCAAGTTCCAATTGACCTATAAAATATAGGTCAAGCCCTATATGCCCTATACACCTGAAGGCGTGGAAAAGGTTTATTTACTTACTTACTGTGCCATTGTAGGCACAGGAAGTCACCGTGGCGTAACGGCTAGATGCTCTGTGCATCTGGACTTTTTCAAAAATGACCTTGACTCCCAGGTCAACCCAGCCTTGAGTGGGTACCGGGTGCAGTCCCGGGAAGTAAATGCCGCTGGCGTGATGCTGACCACATCACCCATCTTGTGCCGATTGGTCTATAAAATGTAGGTCTAGCCCTATATGCCTAAAGGCATGGAAAAGGGACCTTTACTTTACTATGTCATTGGATCTGCTGAGACTGCAGTCCATATCAATTTAGTTTTCACAAGGACAGTGATATGAACATTCTGTGTGCTCAGTAATGCAGCCACTATGGAGTGACCCATTTGCTGTGAAGTTGGAATTTGATATAACTCATTCCTCCGAAGTCGGAGTACATCTGCCGGAGAGGCGGGGAACGAGTACTGCAAACAAATAAGCCAGTAAAACGGATGTACACGCAAAACTCAGGTCAAGGTAAAAGCCAAAAGTCCATTTTGGACGAACAACCGTGACTTACCGCCGGAATTCACAGCCGGTGAACAAGAAGAAGAAGAAGAAGATATAACTCATCAAGTAATTATTATCTAATTTGCCTGAGGGGGTTGCGTGTTTTCCAGGCATGGTGTATGCCTTGAGTGCTAGAGGTTCCAGGTTCAATCACCAGTAAGGGCTTGGACTTTTTTAGGAGGACTTTTGACTTCTAGTAATTCCCCTTGGTCTCTGGGTTTGAGATCGGACGCCCGCGTGCATTGTTGCGCAGGTAAAAAATCCTTTGGCAGTTGGAGACTGAAAAGAGTAGCCTAACAGCTCTGCCCAAGCAAAATTTTGAGTTAAAAATCTACAAAAGTATTTCAGAAACCTTGCCGGTGCTAGCGAGCCTGTGCATTGTGTTAAGCTTTTTCGGACTCAAACTTGAGTTAGAAGAAGAACAGAGCACTTATGGGTTACTACCCGTGTGCCATGATGTCGATTTGTTGTAAAAAATCTTTAAAAAGCCATAATTTGCCTGTATTATATGTATACTTCTATTTCTATCCTCTGGTCTCACAAGAGCTTATATAGCTACAGTAAAGTTTTGTTAACATCAATTTCAAGGGACTATTGTTTCTTACATGTGCTTATAAGTGTAATGTAACTATTATAATAGTGTGTGACATACAAATATTTTTTTTTACTAACATAACTATCATCATTGTGTTTCATTCAGGAATTTATACACCTCTGTGTGTCAACAATTGCTTGCATTTTTACTTTGTGTGCCATATATATGTGTCACAGAAGTGACAAGTGCTTACATATCTATTCTGTGTGACATTCATGTGCTTACATATCTACTATATGTGAAACAGAAGTGTTTTTATATCTACTCAGTATGACATTCAAGTGCTTACATATCTACTCTGAGTGCCAGTCAAGTGTTTATTTATTTACTATACATGTTACAGAAATGCTTACATATCTACTCTGTATGCCATTCAAGTGCTTACATATCTACTCTGTGTGCCATTCAAGTGCTTACATATCTACTCTGTGTGCCATTCAAGTGTTTATGTATCAACTATATGTGTCACAAAAGTGCTTACATATCTACTCTGTGTGCCATTCAAGTGGTTACATATCTACTCTGTGTGCCATTCAAGTGGTTACATATCTACTCTGTGTGCCATTCAAGTGGTTACATATCTACTCTGTGTGCAATTCAAGTGGTTACATATCTACTCTGTGTGCCATTCAAGTGCTTACATTTTTACTATGTGTGCCATTTAAGTGCTTACATATCTATTTTGTGTGCCATTCAAGTGTTTACATATCAACTATATGTGTCACAGAAGTGCTTACATATCTACTATATGTGTCACAGAAGTGCTTACATATCTACTCTGTGTCCATTCAAGTAATATCTACTTTATGTGTCACATAAATACTTACATGCCTGCTCTGTGTGCTATTTACCTGCTTTAATATCTATTATATGTATGTGTCACATAAGTGCTTACATATCTATTTTGTGTGCCATTCAAGTGCTTACATATCTATTTTGTGTGCCATTCAAGTGCTTAAATATGTACTATATGTGTAACAGAGGTGCTTACATACTGATACATGTGACAGTAACGTGCCTACATATCTGTATGCCACACAAGAACTTACATATTTGCCATACATGTCACAACTGCTTATAGATCTAGTATATGTTTGTAGATGAGATGCCCATGAAACTGAAAGAACACAAATCCACTGAGGCATGTACTCATCAGCTTTTGTCTATCACATACATGCTTACATATCGAATCTGTGTGCCATATAAGTGCTTATATATCTGCAAAATGTGTCACATAAATGCTTACATATCAACTGAGTGTGCCAAAAACTGCTTACGTAGTTAAAATATCTGCCACATAAATGCTTACATATACTGACTATATGTGTAACACAAGTACTTACATATCTACAATATAAGTCACATAACGCTTACATATGGACTGGGTGTGCCGTACAAGTGCTTACATGTGTAAAATATATGTGACATAAATGCCTACATATTGACCATGTGTGCCATACAAGTGCTTAATAATCTACAATATAAGTCACATAAATGCTTACATATCGACTGTGCACCATATGAGTGATTACATATCTACAATATGTCATATAAATGTTTAAATGTCTGCTATGTGTGCCATACAAGTGATTACATATCTAAAATATAAGTCATGTAAATGCTAACATATGGACTTGGTGTGCCATACAAGTGCTTACATATGTACAATATCAATCATAAATACCTACATATTTACTTTGTGTGCCATGTAGGTGCTTACATAGTTACAATATAAGTCATATAAATGTCTACATATGCTTATATATCTACACTGTTGAATATCTGATGGTAAAATGATTATGTGTGATCTGGAAGTAAAGCTTGGTGCAGCACGTCTATGCTGTCTTCGGGGTAAAGACAGGAGATACTATAATCAATTTCTCATGGAAACAATCAGAAAAGGTACCCTGGAGTGGCTGCCGAGATGAGCATGAGCATGCCCAATGTAAAGTGATATCAATTGTGATAACATATCTACATTATCGGTCACATAATGCTTACATATCTACTCTGTTAGACATCCAAGTGCTCACATGTCTACAAAATCTGCCACATCCTTGCTTATATATATTCTGTAAGCCAAACAAGTGCTTACATGTCTACAATATATGTCACATAAATGCTAATATACTGGCTTTGTGAACAATATAAGTGCTTGCATATCTACAATATCTGTCACAAAATTCTTTCATATCTACTGTGTAAGCTACACAAGTGCTTAAGTGTCTACAATCTGTAACACAAATGCTTACATATATACCTTATGAGCCACACAAGTGCTTACATAAATACAATATCTGCCATTTAAATACATTTACTCTTTAAGCCACACAAGTGCTTACATATCTACAATATCTGCCTCACAAATACATATACATCTATTCTGTAAACCACACAAGTGCTTACATATCTACAATATCTGCCACACAAATACATATACATCTACTCTGTTAGCCACACAAGTGCTTACCACAGTATCTGTCCCACAAAAGCTTACAAATCTATTTTGTGTAACAAGACGTGTCTGGGAAACTGGAAAAGAAAAACATAAATCCATCCTGTAGTCCAGGCATGTCACTCACCATCTGCTGACTCGGCCAGTCCACACTGAGAGTTATGTGTACACGGAAGATCTCCCAGTTCAAGCTGACCAAGCTCTGCCAGCTTCAAATGTTGCCCCTGCACCAAGAGAAAGTCCTGCAGGCTGAGCTTCTTGAACCGCAGACTTCCCACGGGAGTGTTATCCAAGTACAGTAGCAGTTGTCCTACTTGCAGTGCCACCTGCAAGAAAATTCTACATGAATCACAAGGTACCACTATATAAGATAATCATTATATATATATATACACACAACAATAAGAAAGTGACAAACACTGTTCTTTGGCCACATCATGGGAAAAGAGACAGTGTAGAACATGGTGACTACTGGAAAGATCAGTGGGAAAAGGGGTAGAGGCAGACCAAGACAGATGATGCTGGATGGGCTGAAACAATAGCATGAAGGGATCTCATCAAGAGAGCTGCTCCAGGCAATAGAAATTCCAGGGATCATTATCTGTGGAGATGCACGAGTGCCAACACCAGTTGGCAGGGCACATGATGAACATAATGATGGCATGCCGGTGGCAGATGTGGGTCGACTATCTTGCGAGTGTTATCCAAGTACTGCAGCAGCTGCCCTACTTGCAATACCATCTGCAAGTAGTCACAGTACATAGTTCAGAATCCTTTTCACAGTTAGGAAAGGTGAAGACAGGCATTCTCCGTGCAGATGGGCAAGCATTTCTTAAGAAGTCCCAGGGAGTTAGGGTTCTTTGGATATTTTGTCCAGGGCATGCAGGAGTGTTGGGAAATGAACAAATAGACAGACTGGCTGGTTCTGAACCAATGGGTGGTAAAACTGTTCAGGACAAGCTGGATGTAGTCAAGGACCTTTGGGAGCAAGTGAACATGCGGAGGCACGAACAGATCATTTTGGGCTGGAGATAATGGTACAGCTAGGAGTGACCAAGGGATCTGGTCGACACACTACACTCAGAAGAAAACAGCATATAATCTAACTGCTACTGGCACTATCACAACTGGAACTCTTCGCTGGCTGCTGAAGATGAGGACAAAGTGTTTGTGGGAAAGTCCTGAGTGCTACGGTGTCAGTTCTGTCGGTCTGTCTATCTTAGCTTAGCTTAGCTTAACTTTTCACACTAGTGACAGACAAGGCACACAGTAAACTATAAATACTCAGAGAAGAGACAGAAAGAAAGCGAGAGAGAGAGAGAGAGAGAGAGAGAGAGAGAGAGAGAGAGAGAGAGAGAGAGAGAGAGAGAGAGAGAGAGAGAAAGAGTAAGAGTGTGAGAGAGAGTGAGAGACATTGAGAGAGAATGACAGAGTGAGAAAGAATGAGACAGAGAGAGTAAGAGCATAAGAGAGAAAGAGAGAGGGGGAGATAGCTTGAAGGAACTGAAGAAACTTCAGTATGTATCAAAAGAGTTGTTTATGCTCTCCACTGAAGGACTAAAGACATAAGAATAAGAATGAATAAACCTCTCCTAAACACACTGACTAATTAGATCACTCACTCACCTTGATTCTCTTAGACCAAGTCATCTCACTGATGACTGATGGTGTCACACGAGTGCCCACCTCAGTAACTATGATAAGACCCTTCTCTGGCATGCGCACTGAAACGCGGTTACCTCTGAGACAGTATCCCTCCATCATGATAATGTTGGGATGTCTAAGAACACTTAGGAAGAGAATCTCTCGTAGCAGCCTTCAAAAGATAATGTACAAATGTTATTATACGAACAATAACGATACATTTTAAATGTTATAACGGCCAATGTAAGGCAACATGATACTCTATAAATGTTATCATGAGCTACAAAAATAATGAAGATTGACTAACAATGTTATCATAGTTTACACACACAGTAATGATCCACTTCAAATGTTAGCATGGTCTACACACACAGCAATGATCAGCTACAAATGTTAGCATGGTCTACACACACAGCAATGATCAACTACAAATGTTAGCATGGTCTACATACACAGCAATGATCCATTTCAAATGTTAGCATGGTCTACACACACAGCAATGATCAACTACAAATGTTAGCATGGTCTACACACACAGCAATGATCCACTTCAAATGTTAGCATGGTCTACACACACAGCAATGATCAACTACAAATGTTAGCATGGTCTACACACACAGCAATGATCCATTTCAAATGTTAGCATGGTCTACACACACAGCAATGATCAGCTAGAAATGTTAGCATGGTCTACATACACAGCAATGATCAGCTACAAATGTTAGCATGGTCTACACACACAGCAATGATCAACTACAAATGTTAGCATGGTCTACATACACAGCAATGATCAACTATAAATGTTATCACTCACTGTTTACAAAAAACAGTAATCTATTTAAATAAAAGTGTAAATTTACCGCTGTTTCTTACAGCTAATCTCTGAAAGTTCTTTATTGATTGCTTTCAACGTTGTAATAGAATAAATAAAAGTGGGAAAATGTTTCGTTTTGTAACTATACAGTTTGTACTTTGTATCTGCTTATATCTGCCTCAACTCTCAAAGCTGTATTAGAGGAAGTGAACAAGAAGACACTGGACTGGTAAAAGGAGTTCAGTATTACAACACATAAGCGTTACCTGTAGTTTCCCATAGCTGCACATCGGCTCGCTTCATAAACCTGCTTCATGCAAGCAATTTTGGTCTCCCTGTCAGAGGACAGACTTTTTAAAACATATGCCAATTTATCCAGCTTTGTGTTGAATCTGCTTCTCAAGTGAGCACTGCTTCTGTCTGGCTCACCCCCAGAAGGGTAGGCATACTCCAGATATGATGACCCAGAATGAGACATGGAAGCATCCAGAGTTAAACTGTCAATCTGCTTGCAGCTCATCTTGCTCTCCAACCCATAATCTACGAGGATGTATTTTAGATCCAGGGCAACATCATCCGTATCCGAAGCAGTGGCCCAGTTTGCTGGATACAGTGTGTGTAAAAACTTCAACAAGGCCTTTCTGCTATTATCATCCAGTAGTTTCCTGTTCATTTTTTCAAATTCTTCAGGGTTGAAATTTGCATATTTACTATTATTGTGTGTGTTTTTATCTATCACATTTGCTTGGAATGAATTATGAGGAGTATCTTTTTGCTTCAAATGTTGCCGTGGGGAATACTTCTGCTCCATTGTTGGCAACGGATGATGTCTCCTAGGATGTGTTGCAGGCATGGAAGCTAACGCGCGATAGAGCAGCAAGCAACAGATGAGAAGAACTGAGAAACCAATAATGGTCACTCGAGTCTTGAGGCGACAGGTTAATGATGTCCTGCGAAACATTGTCCTAGCTGGTCACCTGTGCATCTACTGACATGTGTCAGTAAGAGGCATCAAGTATATCATAAATCAATGTTCTTTTTGTAGGATGTGCACCATTTCCTGCAAAAACAAAACACAGTGTGGTTACCTACTGGAGAAGACAATGGGTAACACAAAAAAGTAGATATTTCGGTTAGTTCCCCTAAAATCTCCCCACTAAAATCTCATTTTTGATTGGTTAACCTCCTGTTAGCTGACCTTCGCAAACTGCTAGGGGGAGTGTTCTGCAATGTGCTGGTATCGTATGGTGTATATTTAAGCAGGCCAGCACTTTTAACACTACAAAAATATTGAGAAACTTAATCTAACCCACAAACCCCCTAGAGAGAGATGCAACCTTTGTCACAGGCATTCTCTTTTTTTGGAAGAAAAACGTAAATGCAAGACAAGCCAGAAAGGAAACAAGAAAGCCATTAACCCCCGGACAGCAGACCGGTCTACAAAATCTATCAATGGAATATGACCTAGTTCAGCTAAGGAGATTATAGTGGATCTCATCAATATTTATATAAATAAAGCCATCTTTTTTCAAGGAACCTCCCACTATTTTTGGTAAATTTAGTCATCCCCTGTCACACTGAATATTTGCACAGATGCTGAGAATTCCGTTAGCTAAACAGCTTGTAAACATGCCTCTATAGCTAGACGAGAAAGCGGCTTTAAAGGGAAAACGGTACTAACCAGAAGAATCATTTTTGCAGCTTCTCGAAAGAGTTCAGGGGCAGTGGGTCTATTTTTTGTTTGCCCCAAAACGGAACCCTGGAATCCAAACAGGGAGTGGGCTTTTTGTATACTAACACTTCTCCTAATAGATACTGACCTTTACTTTATTGTAAGCAACTGCTCTATTTAGCATTTACTGATTTCAGTATCCATAACCATTGATTCAAATCTGGGTTGCTATCTGAAGTTTTGACAGCCTCTCTCTGCATGGCACGCCAAGTAAAATCAGAGATACTCTGTTCACCAAAGAAATTATCACTGAAGCATCCGTGAGAATTAAATTTTGTTATTTCTCTCTTCACTTCACTAAGATGATGACGATCAAATGCCTAATTTAATAAAACAGTAACAAAACTGAGAAAACAATCCTTTTTTAAGAAATTATAAAATAATAAATGTTTCTCAAGTATTTTTAAATAGCAGTCAATGCTGATCAAGTATACGGAGAGATAATTATATAGGCAGACCTACAAACACGGAGACACCAACTTGAAAGAGAAGACCAATCATAGAGACGGACTTGGGTGATATCTGCTGTAAGTAACCTCAAGGGCTTGGAATGCTGAAGAAGATCAAAGTTTACATCCATGAATGAGTTATAAACTGGGCTTTTTTGTTTCTACAATAGAAGGTGGGTGCAGGGACTAACCACAGAGTATCTAAAAGGGTGTTAGTACTTACCATAAAGTGTCTTATTACATACTGTGATCTACTGTTTAACTCACCATAAAGTGTCTTATTACATACTGTGATCTACTGTTTAACTCACCATAAAGTGTCTTATTACATACTGTGATCTACTGTTTAACTCACCATAAAGTGTCTTATTACATACTGTGATCTACTGTTTAACATTACGGTTTTTATTTTTTACTTCAATGTGGCTGCTTCTGGATACTCAGTTAAGTGACTGTGTATTCGTGTGTTTATTTTTTTTTATTTATGCATGTGCTGATGCAGGCTCTATAGTCGCAATGTTCACATTTTGTTTGTGTTTGTTATATTGTGAAGCTCACTGATCTACTTTTCTTTCGATATCTTATCACAGTAGAGCTGAACAAAATTAAATTACTTCTGAAGAAAAGGTGCTGGCACTGCGTACTGCAGAAAAAAAAAGCCTTAGTTATAAAACAGATGGATGGTAAACTCAGGAATTTATGGGTTAACTCTTAAATATAAAGCCCACATACGTAAAATCACTACCTGCGAGATGAGATGCCTGAGAAAAGCAGCCAACCTAACCATCCGAGATCAAGTGAATAATGATACTATCAAATTGTGGGAACACCTTGTGCCAGATTCATCGAGAAACAGCTGAAACAGTGGTCTGACCATCTCGTAATGCAGCAAGATCAAATACCATCACAAGCACTACATCTCAGAATATCAGCTACAAGAGCAAGAGGACAGAGGCAGAAAATATAGAAAGACAACATTAAAGACACTCTACGCCTTCACGGCATGACAATAGCCAGTGGCAGCCAGCGTGCATTGGATCGCAAATTATTCCTTCCCACAACGCTTAATGGCAGAAGTGGTTTATGATCATGACTCCTAGAGACGGAAAGCCTGTTTTTGCTAGGCAAGAAGATCAACAATGTCTAGTCTGATAGTTTCTGCAAAGTTTATGGACCTGCAAGAGTGGATCAAAAGTATAAATGAAATAATCAATAATTTACACCACTGCACTTGGGACAATCCCACACGTGCTCTGACCCCTTCTTCAGTAGCCAATGAAGAGTGGTGATGCTAACAGTACCAGCTGCAAGCTGATTAAAGTCAACTTCTGTTTTCAGGTCAATGCTGCATATCTTCCAGAGCCTCCACACTAGCTTCCCCCCCCCCCCCTGCTTCCAGCTGAATTAGCCTTTCAATGTATGGATTCTCTACCCGTTCTTTTGCCCTGTCCTTCTGACCCCATAAAGAATTCACAACATCTGCTATATCATAATGTAGCTCACTGCACAGAAGAGCAGCAGCAGATAATCTATCAACCTGCTCATATCCTGGACAGAAAGTTCTAGCTAAGCTCCTGATCTGTGTCTTGCTGAGTGATGCCAGCCACTCTGTGTGCAGGATGCCAGTTTCTGTGAAATCTGACATGTCATATAAAAAAAACAGCATAAATCCAAATTATTTTGATTAACTGTTTCAGATAAATACTACTTGATGCATAATTGAACAGAGAAGGCATACGAATTCTTAGAAATGGATATTAGTCGTGCAGATCAAGTAAAAAAGTAAGGTAACTACAAAACTTCACATTTTTAAAAAAAATAAGAATTCCTTATATTTAACATCCTTGAATGTTGTGTCATTTGTATATTTTGCTGTTGTAATATTCATACTTCAATACTTTAGATGTACCATATATTCATTTCTTTTTACTCTGATGAATTATATGTCACTATACAGCATACAGTCAGCTCTGTGGCTAAGTCGATGCGAAAGCTTCGTAATGCCGGGATGCCGAGTTCGATCCCAGCTGCGGGCCATGCGCCTTGTGTTGGTTTCGACAGTGGTATCAAGAAAGCCAACCGTCAGAAAGCAATGACAAACAACTGGACGTAAATTTGACTAGAAAAACCACACAACAGCCATAGGCTGTTGGGGTTGGTTCTGCATCGTCTTGTAAAGGGTACGCAACTAACCTATACAGCAAATACTTGTCCTTCATGAGGTTTTAATTTATTCATGAAGCAGTTTTTAAAAAATCAACTCAAATTTAATGCTGTCGAACCCCAGAAAAACCATCGTCTTTTTGAAGTTAAAGTTATTATTAAAAAAAAAATTAAATTTATAACTAGTTTATTTATGGCAAAACTTACTTTTAGGGTTAGTCATAATAATATTATGACTAAAAGTAAGTTTTGTCATAAATAAACTAAATTATAAATATCCCGTAGACAGTAGAAGGTAATGAAATGCATCTGGCGTTGGCGTGAGCTAGTGCAAAATACGAACAGCCGATGCGTCTGTTGAGAATGTAATTAGCTATGGGGCGGTAGCTGGAAACTGTTATCTCCTCAGATGATAACAAAGAAAGATAACCACACACAAAATAAACTAACTATAGCATCCGGCTTTCAGAACACAAACTAAAATGAAAAATATTTCTAGCCACTACATTAAAACCTTGTCCCTACACAGAATATATAAAACACAAGCGACATATCTGACGCGCTAAAAACTAATGGAACGGTCACATTAGGCGCGATAAGACCACAGAAACTAACAAACACAGGTAGAACATTTTGGGGGAAGCTGAAAGCGACGGTAAACAAACCTGCAGGTCACCATTGTAGATCACGTCTGCTAATGCGGAAGTTGTCTTGACTCCCGCCTGTCATCATCATCATGTGCAGTGTTGCCACTTTTCTTTGAAAAAAAACATCCAAAACGGAGTCAAAAAATATCTTAAAACATCTAAATTTGCATGGAAACCATCTAGAAAAAACATCCAAATGGAAAGAGTCACAAATTACATAGCTATTGATATGACTTATCCTATAGAATCATGTCCTCATCTTCACTGATGTCTGCCTCACACAAACCACAGGAAAAACTTAGCTTGGATGATGAAGTTGAAGCTTCAGATCCAAAATGACTCTGGTTTGCTTTAGCTGTTCCAGTTTCTTTTAATACACCATCAGGGAGCTGATAAGTAGAACAGCATTTTCCTACTCTCATCAGCCCGAATTTTATTGTCAAGATTTGATATAATTCACAGCACTGAAAACTCTTTCTACGTCGGCATTACATGTGGAATAGTATCAGAACTTTCAGTGGTGTGGAACCATAATTCAAGGCTGTACATAATGTATTGTATTGCTGTAGTCTGACAAATGTTTGGAAAACCAGTTCTGTGTTTCAGCAATAAGGTATTCCAATTTCCTTAGTATATATTCAGATGACGCATGTGATAATGCTAGCAGCAATGAACGACACATACATTTTATAAGTATTAACGATGGGATAGCTTCCTTCAACTTGGCATAAACGTCATTGTTTATACCAACCATCAAATTCTTCAAATCTAACTGTTTGCTGATTAAAAAGAACTATTCTTTCTGCATCACACTTTTCCAGTTGAACTAGTCCAAGATATTTAGTAAACTACTTTGTCTGTATTGTTGCCGTAATATATAATACACGCACCAAGCATTTCTAGTACCGAAATATCATTTGATTCGTCTAATAATAAACTATAATTATTTGAAGAAATATGACTGATCAAA